GCCCCCGCCGCGTCCGAAGGCGAGCGGCCATGCGGCTGGCCAACTCCACCGTGTCCGTGAGCCGCGGCAGCGTGCAGGAGCTCGACACGCTGCACGGAAAGGGCCCGCCTGGCCCGCCGCAGACGTAAACGCCGCAAAACATCGACAAATAACATTGCCGCTCTTGTGGGAATGCTGAAGCACATTCACATGTTGTTCTCGCACTCTGCAAAACAGTCACGACATTCTCCAAAAAAGTTTGACATTCTCCTCAGATTTTGGAACTTTGATCTGATGGCTCCATAGATGTCCTCAATGAGCTGAACAGTTTAAAACTGTCTCTCAATTCGGGAAATCTACTGCAAAAATGTGGGAATTTGGGGAAGGAAGATTATAGTAACTTGAATGAGCTCAACGGTTTCAAGTGTGGATGGTTTGAATGGGTCATCAATTCTGAATCAATGAAGTAAATCTATAAAATGCACACATCTTAATGAGGGCATTTTAATGTGGAAAAAATGGGAATTTGCAGGACATGAAAAAATATATCCCAAGATGTCCTTAACCAGTTTGAAGTTGGAATGGCTCGCATCAGCTGAGAATGGCTCCACGACGAAGATTGCTGTTCATTGGGGGAATTTGTCATCATGGAAAATGTGGGCATTCCGCACAAGTGTGATGTCATTTTAAGTCGCCAGCAAGTGGCAAAATGGCCGCTCCCATCAGGTGGCTAAAGACGGGTGGATTTCGTTGCTGAATATTCATCACAATACCGCATATGGACTCCAAATGTTCCCAAAATGCCGACATTTTTACAATAACATTTCCAAATGGAAACATATATGTATATTCGACATATTTACCTCATCCTTCCACAGGTCTTGACCAATTCAAACAATTCAAACTTCAAACTGTTCAGGACATACTTTAAACATGGCTCTAATAACATCATTTGTTTTTTTCCCATCGTCAACATTTCAACAATTCGCTCATCTTCACATCAGCGAAGCGTCAAATCTTCAGCATTCACACGCAATTTCGACACAAATGGCATTTTTGGTGCCGCTGTCGCTGACGGGGCCGTATGTGTTTCAGTCGTTCCAGCCTAAACGCTCAGATCAACCTCAAGCTGAACTGCGGCGAGCAAGACTTCAGCGCCGCCATCATTAGCATCCCCACGCCGCCTGCCAACACGCCCGATGAGAGCCTGCCGCCCTCACCTGCCGCCATCCCGGGCGGCATCTTGCGCAATACGCGCGCCACCGCCTACACCCCCGACGCCGTCAAGATTTCCTCCTTGTAACCTCTGCCAGGGCCCGACCCGTGCGCCCCGCGTCCTCTTGCCTGGTGCCCGTGGCTGCTCACGGCCAGCAGCTGGCCAAGGACGGTGGCTAGCAGACATAAAAAACACGCACTGCGTCCTTCCGGCTTTATCCTCTGCTGATGATGAAAGTGGACATCCAAATATGCAAAGTGGGAAGTCATCGTCAATAATCCACTATAGGACGCAATGTTTGTGAGCGGCGTGTTTGACATAAACGGAACGAGACGACGAATGAAGCAAAAACCCCGAGGTCAGCTTTCTTCCATCGTACAACAAGGAGCTTCTGACAATGCTAATGTGATTACGTTGAAGAAAAGGAAACCAACAAAAGCACGAGAATGAAGAAACATGTCACGTGTAGCAATTTGTTTAGGCTATTTAGTTCTTAGCAGCACAGTGGCCGCCTGGCCAGTACGTCTGCGTCACAGTTTTGGGGTTTGAATGTTGGCTGCGGCCTTCCTATGCAGTTTGCATCATGTCGCTGCGCTCGCATGCATTTTCCCTCCCATTTTTCTGAAAACATGTTAGCATGAAGACATTTTCCAAAGGTGTGAATATCAAAGGGAGTGCTTGTTTGTCTGTGTCCAGACACAGACTGGGGGACCAGTCCACCGTTTGCGCCAAGCCTGCCGCTTTTAGATGTCGCCCTCCTCCAACACACCTGATTCAAATGATCAGGCTCATGATCAGGCTTCTGCAAAGCTGGCTAATGATCTGATCATTTGAATCAGGTGTGTTGGAGGAGGGAAACATCTAAAACTGCTCTCGAGGACCGGTCTTGGGCAACCTGGGTCTACAAAGTAGGTGCCCTGAAATCGACTGGTGGTCAGGGAAAATCAAGACAATGGACTGGTCGCCAGTCGACATCAGGAAACATTAGAGTCAAACAATGCACTGTTCGCCAGCCAATCGCAGTCTTATCATTGATATTTTATCAAATTGATTGACATTTTTCAGAATGTCAATTCATGATCATTCAATTTTAAGTCACTTTTTTGTTTTTTTGGTCGCGATGGAAGAAAACTGAAGCTAAACCCGACTGCCTGCTAGCTTAAATATTAGCGCTGCTTGTGCACGTGGCCACTTTGACATTCCTCAGTTTCCTTCTCGGCCACTCGGAAGCGATACGTTTGTGAGCGTTTGACCAAGCACAAATTGTAACATATTTTGTATCATAGACGTTTACCTGCACCTGTCAATCAATTTTGCGCCCCAAAAATGGAAGGAAAAAAAGGTGTGGACATTGCAACCCGGTCTGTGCATGAGCCTCGTAAGACTTCAAATTTAGCCAGCGTATTCCAAAAAAGAAACATACATTGAGGCAGAAACGGTCCTTTCTTATTTTGCATGACGACTTTCTTATGATTTTTGTTTTCATTCAACCACCGAGATGTGGCATCATTCAGGAAAGCTCCTGGCCCGGAATGCGGAGAGACGTCACTACTATGCATGGATACCGTTGTAGGTATTTGATCTCAACGCACTCTTTGTTCACTGGACTTCTTCTGACAGGCACACCAATAAAAGGTGAACCGTGCTAGTGTTAGTGCCATCGATGCTAATTTCAGAATACTGTAGCATCAACGTGATGACACAAACAACCTTTCTGTCATCTCACTACATTCTGTGCAATGATGCCTCTCACGATAAGTAGCAGGACCATCTAAAATGGCCGCAGCTACAATGGCTAACGTTAGTGGTTATTGATGTTCTTTTTGCACCCACACCATGCCAATAATGGGCTAACATCAGAATTATATTTATTGGCCAAGTACTTTGTGTGTAAAACACACAAGTAATATGTCTCCTGTAGTACGAGCTACACTAGGATTGCTCTAAGAAGCAACTACGACCAACAGAGGCATGACATAGAAGTATGGACAGTCTTTCTGTTATGTCACAGTACCATTGTGCGGTGGTGCCACCCAATGACAGCTGTGCAACAATGCGGAGGGTCAACATGACTGCGAGTTTGCATCGGGCTTTGCTAATGCTAATTTGCGGAAAGAACTGCACGTCATTCGCCATGTTTGCGGACCATCCAAGATGTCTGCGTCAATAACGGCTAACATAAATGCAGATTTGCCCCTCACACAGTAACTAGGCAAAGCATCCCAGGTGGACATGACGACACATCTGCATCTGTTTTCGCTTATGTTTGTGTCTCACTCAGGAAGAAGCTTGAGAGTCCCAGATGTCCACGATAACAAAGGCTAACCTTTGCGCACATTTGCTTCAGTCTTTGATCATGCTAATTGACCAACAACAGCTAAGATTAGTGACTAATTCCCGATAATCTTTGTGCCTACACGGGAAGTACTCGGGGGTCCAGGATATCCATGCCAACAACTGCGAGCTATCAAATTCTAATTTGAGCTAACATTAGCGTAACCATTTTGACAAAAGTGGAGGGTGAGGGAGTTCAGTGAACAAATTAATCATGAATAAATGAACTATGATTAAAGCACAGACATGTATATTCATGACACCAATAAATGACATGACAAAAAATAACTGCTATGCCTCCTTTTTTCATTTGTTTTATTTGTGATTATTTTTAACGCACAATCAAAACTAAGAAAAAAAATCAACTGTATTCAGGAACCTGCTACCATGATCTTAAAGAAATGTTGGCATCTTTCTGAGAAATGAGTGTATCAAATTATTTTAGTAAACCAAAAGAGAAGTGAGGCGTTTTCATCGCCCTTCCCGCATTTTTAATTTTATTTTAAACAAATAACCTATGAGAAGAGGCCAGATGCCAAGGCCGCGCCCCTTCTCTCAATCAAGCCACGCCCAGCACAGGTGAAGCCGCGCAATGCATTGTTGGAGAAGAGCAGCTTCGTCGACAGGAAGGAACGTTTCTTTTTTTCCCCTGATTTTGAGTGGGGTTTTTTTTTCGTAAGGGGTCGGTGAGACTAAAATCCCGAGCAACACCTTGTGCCCCTTAGCCTGAGGGAACCATATTAGACCAACTTTCACTTCTTACAGAATCTTTGGAAACGTTCTCGGTACGTCTTTCTCTTTCTCGCGTTCGCTCTCTCACATGCAGACACGCGCGCGCGCACACTTATACGTTCGCGATGGAGGAGCGCGCACACGGGCCTTGAGGCAAGTGAACGAGAGAGAGAGAGGGGGAGAAAAAGTGATCACGGCGCTAACAGTGACGTCATCATGGATCCGCTGGAGACGGGACAGAAGTTCAGCCTGAGACAGGTGAGTGACGTCACCACCGGACCAACCGGTTCGAAGTGTGTGCGTGCGCGCGCGCGTGTGTGTGTGTGTGTGTGTGTGTGTGTGTGTGTGTGTGTGTGTGTGTGTATACACAGTCCACATGCATAGCATTTAGAGTAAGCTAAGGGTGTCCAAACTTTGTCATCAAGGGCCGCTGTTTTTCCTTCTCTCCCTGCTGCAACCCACCTGATTCCAATGATCAAGATGGTTATCTTGCTTCCTCAGAGCTTGCTGATGAGCCGATGTTTTGAATCAGGTGGCTTTCAGCAGGGATGGAAAACAGGCAGGACATCGGCCTTGAGGTCCGAGTTTGAACACCCCAGCGGTAGCCAATTGTTGTCTACCTCACAGTTTCGGTGTTCTCGATTGGGATCTGGTCTCAGGCCACCCTGTGTTGAGTCTGCACATTTGTCCCTGTGCCGGTGTGGGGTTTTCTTGCCGCATTTTAAGAAACATGTTAGCTTCATTGAAGATCAAGAAATTGCGTAGGTGTGTTTGTCAATTCCGACCCTGACATTGGCCAGTGACCAGTCCTTAGTTTGTCTAGAGCACAGATGTCAATCTCTGGTCCTGGAGGGCCGCCGTCCTGCATGTTTTACATCCCTGCCTGTTGCAACACACCCGATTGAAATGAACAGGATCGATATCGGGCTTCATTTGAATCAGGTGTGTGCAAGATGGAAAACGACCCTCGAGGACCAGAGTTTGACACCTAAAGCCTGTGTCGGTAACTCCGATCCTTGAGAGCCGAAGTCAGCGTATGGGATGTTTGAACATTGAAAGCATTTCCTTCTTCATGACAATTGTATCTGACTGGATCACCACGGCAACCGCTGCGCTTCCATCAGGATCTGGATCCCAGCCTTCAGTTTCTGCCCGCCCCTGATGCCAAAAAGCTCGAGAAGAGGCCAGTGCGTCACAGGAAGTTGTGGGTTGCCGCCGGCCTGGTGTCGGCAGCCGCCGCGTTGTCTCTGCTCACCGGGATGCTTGTGTGGCGCTTCCACTGTAAGCAAATGCCTTTTTTAAAAAAAAATATTTTTTTTTAAACCTGCCTCGTGTGCTGTCATTGTTTTTGTCTGTCTTCATAAACCGAGGTTATTGTACATAATGAGAGCCAATGAAAAGAACGACAAGTGGTAAAACAGAGAAGGCTTTTAAAAATCTAACAAAAGCACATTTTGCATTTATAAAAGTACCTATACTGTAATTACAGCAAAAATGGCCTTTGTATCGGCCTTTGTCAGTTAATTTCATACATGAGCTTTTGGGGGTTATTTTAAATGTAGCAGTATTTATTTCACTGTTACGACCCAAGCGTGGTCCACCAAGAAATTTGGAAATTTTAATATACTTGACTTTATGACACAAAACCGTGGCCTTTTTCTTTTATCTTGTACTCCACAAATGCTACACATATATTTTTAAAAAAACAAATACTAAAACTAATAACAAAATAAACAGAGCATTTTTGAAAAATAAAAAACAAACAACCTCATTCTAAAAACTCATTAAAAATGCATTTAAAACACAAAATTGAAAATGAAATAAAAACAAACTGAATAAAAACTTGAAACGATTGTAACCCGAGCATATGCGTGTTGTTATCTGGCTAGTGCACCGCGACGGGGCCCTGAAGCGCATCTACGTGGGCTCCATGTCCATCGCCAACCAGCGCTTCCTGCCGGCCTACGAAGACTCCGGCAGCGATCCTTTTGTCAAGATGGCGTCGCTCGTCAGCCAGCAGGTGAGTGGCGGCGTGGCCCCGAGACATGGTGGGGTCGGCCGTGGCTAAAGCAAAACGTTTTTCATCATTCTGCAGCTAAAAGTGATGTATGAAACAAAGGCGGCGTTGGGCAAATACTTCCAACGCTCGTCGGTGGAAGCCTTCAGGTGAGTCATGTGACAACGCGGTTTCGCTTTCAGGTCTACACATGAATTTTGGTGCCGATTGATCACGGTTTTACTGTCGCCGGGTAGGTCAAATGTCAGGTCATATGAGCCGCCGTCTTTCCCCCGCTGCAGCGACGGCGGCGGCGATTCTGTGACGGCATACTACCGCTCCGAGTTCAGTGTCCCCGCGCCGCAGCAGGCCTCGGCCGATATGGCCGTCCAGTCGCTGCAAACTGCGGCAGGGAGTCCACAAAGCCGACAAGGGAGAGTGCTGCTGAAACCCCAGCGCTCGCTCAACGTCGATGCCGTCGTCACGCGAGGTCAGCCCTCCTGCACCACTCAACTGTCAATCAAGTGTCTTCGGTCGCGGCCAACCGGCTGAGATGCCCATGTTTATAAATGTGCTACTTTTGTGTGCAGCCATCGATCCGCGCATGACGTCACCATCCTTATTGGGTAAGATTACGTTTTGGTTTTTTTTTTCCTCCGTCAACGCCATTGGTTGGCACCCAGTCCATTGTTTGTCTCTGTGTGTTGTGTTGGCTCCCGATTTGTTTGTCTATATATGCGATGACATTGATCGGCCACTTGTCCACGTTGGGTCATAGCTGGTCTCGTGGCCAAAGTCAGGCTCCGGCTCATCGTAACCCAACTCTGATGACGGCAAGAATTTTCGAAAATACATTTTGGGTCAAACGATTGAGTTTTAACCTAATATCTAGTGCGGTGGTGGTTCTTAACCTTGTTAGAGTTTAAGAACCCAACCAGTTCATATGCACGTTCATCGAACCCTTCATGAGTGAAAAATAAAAATGTGATTTTTTTTTTAATTTTTTTTTTTTTTACAAATTCAAAACATAGAAAATGCATTTATTAAAAACAGAAAAAAGTAAATACAATTTCAAGATATAAGTTTTTTCTTTGTGTGCACAAAATGATAATGATGGGAAAACGAAGCTTCATGAAGCACCTGTGATACTTTTTGACACCTCTAGATGGTGCTCTTGGTTTAAATATAAAGGTCAGTGCAATGGAAATGGATGAAAATTCCACTGCATCTTTAAACCAAGACTGCCGTCTAGAGGAGTCAAAAACAAATGAAGCTTCGTGAAGCACTTGTGTTTTCAAGTGCTTCACGAAGCTTCACTTGTCCACCACTACAAAATGACTCTCCATGCAGTTTCAAGAAGGCTCCGTCGAACCCATAAGACCCGATTCACCGAACCCCTGGGGTTCGATCCAACCCAGGTTAAGAACCACTGATCCAGTGTGAATAACAAGGCTATAATTTGCTGTTTTTCCAGTCAAGAAGTCCTTTAACGTGCATGTCCGAGAGGGCGGAGTCATTCGGTCACCGGGTTTCCCCGATTCCTCGTACCCGTCCAGCATCTTCCTGCAGTGGCGCTTGAGAGCGGACGCCGGCCACCGCGTGCGACTGGACTTCCAAAAGCTGATCCTGGAGGACGACTGCCAACACGACTTTGTCAGGATTTATGATTCGCTTGCGCCCATTGAGGAAAACACCATCGCAGAGTGAGACTGTCCGTCTTTAGGACTTTCGCCTTTGATGTCTGGGGTTTCAAACTCATTTTTGTCGCAGGCCACGTTGGCGTTACGTCTCCCCTCTCCAGGGCGGGTTGGGACAGTGAAAACCATAGTAGTCTTGAAATCACTCAAGTCAACTAGTTGACAGTTTGTTCAATTATTGTTCCACTAAATGTAAACAAGGCAACCAAATGATTGCAAAATCTCAACGTCATTCATCGCACGCGACAATTTGACAATGCGGTGCAGATTTTAGCAAGGATTATGCAAGATGATTTTCCTTAGGAGGGGTGGGGGGGTCGCATAAAATGACGTGGTGGGTCAGATCTGGCCCCCGGGCCTCGAGTTTGATAGCTTTGCTTTACATCATACATGTTTGTGATCTCCATCTTCTCAACATTCATCTTTTTGACTTAGACGTCACATCGTCCGTTTTACGATCTTTACTTCGTCAGTCGTTCCATCACGCCATTTGACGAGTTCCATCTTAATGATATGAAGTCATCCGTTTTCATGAGCTGCGTCTGTCTTCAGCTTTGTACGTCATCCATTTTTGGGGTCTCGATCTAAATGACTTCACCTTTTACATCACTCTTACATCACTCAGTTTAACAATTTCCCTCTTTACGACTTCATTCTTTACATCCGTCACCCATTTTTTTTTTTAATCTCCATCTTAATGACTTTAGTTTACGGTCTACGTCTTTGTAACGGAAATCTTTATGACTTAAATTTTTACGACGTTCAGGGCCACCAGCTCGACAACCTAAATCTTTCTGATTTCCATCTTTAGATTGTCCATTCTTACATTCTCCGTCTTTACGGCCTCAGTTTTATGTATGATCCCAGTTTCCCAGTCTCCATCTTGATCCGATTTTTGTCTTTCCACAATCTCTGCTCTCTTTGTCTTTATGGCTTCAATCTTACCTTCCATTTTCACAATCTTCATCTCTTCAACCGCGGTCTTTTTCTGTCTATGTTTACCGCATCCGAATAGCTCTTGTCTCACGACACCATCCGAGTTTATTTGTTGTGTTTTCAGACATTGCGGCCTTCCTCGACGTTCTCTGTCCTTCGTGTCGTCGGGCAACGTCATGTTGTTGACCCTGGTCACCAACGAGGAAAAGAACTTTCCGGGCTTCGTTGCTAACTTTTCGCAGGTCTCTCTGGCGCCACCAGGTGGGCACACAACTGGTTTTTTTTTTTCAATTTGAAGGAGAGGCGTTCAGAATGTGGCTTTTAACCTCCGTGCTGCCGGCAGACTGCGGAGGAACTCTGAGCGGTGACGTGGGCGTCTTCTCTTCACCTTACTTCCCGTCCAGCTACCCTCCTCAGGCTTCATGCGTGTGGAACATCCAGGTCAGTACCTGCTATTCGCCATTAGGGCTGGGCGACCAATCCTTTCAGGTTTATTTATTGGGATATATACCGTATTTAGAATTAAATTCTAAAGCCCCCCTACAGAATTTATTTTGTGATTTCCTCGTTTGTGAATACAGTACTACACAACAAAGGAATAAATAACAAGCACTTCTGAGACAGTCCAGTCTCCTACATTTTACTGCCATCTGATCGTTCTGTTGGAGCTACGCTTAAGGAAATGCCAAAATAAATTCTGTAGGGGGGCTATAGAATATATTTTGTGATTTCCTCGCTTGATTTTCTGTTCTGATGCATTATTTTCAATTTTCGTAGTTTCATTGAAGTACAGTAATCGTGAATTTACGTTTTTCGTAGGTGGTCATGAACGCCTCTCGAGTCGAATAGAAGGAGCGTAGCTCCATTTAGTGGATGCATTGTAGATTGCGATTTATAATCCAGTGCGTCCAATATCTGAAAAAAAATTACAAAATAGGCCATTCATTGAACGTGCACCTCATAATCCAGTATTTTATTATTTGGGAACAGCTTCTGTAGTTCAAAGCGTGTCCCCGCTGACATGCGCTAGAATGCTATTTGTGTGTGTGTGTGTGTGTGTGTGTGTGTGTGTGTGTGTGTGTGTGTGTGTGTGTGTGTGTGTGTGTGTTTTCCAGGTGTCCAAGGGCAAGTTGGTCAAAGTCAAGTTCAGCAAATTCTATGTCGGAAATGACTCCAGTGATTGTTCAAGAGATTATGTGGAAGTCAACGGCCGAAGGTAATTTTCTTCTTGGTTTAGTCTGTATTTAGTCAGTAGCCAATATGACTGTGTTTCTTTTCTGTGAAAGACAGAAATCAACCTGTAATGTGCATGTTGCTTCTGTGCGCACCTCGAGGGTCGGATATTTACATCACGTCCCACGTCCTGCACAATACACGACATCTTCTATTTCTAGGGCGCCTTTCACAACAGCTGCAGATGGAATCAATGTCATTCACATGTCATGCCTCTCTGTACCGTATTGGCGTCATATTTCATGATCCGTGCGTTTCAAAGACGTCATTTTTGCATCGCAGGCTGTGTGGTGCGAAAGACGGAAGAACAGCGGTGGCCAGCAGAAGCAACCGGATGACTGTCAAGTTCAACTCGGATTGGTCATATGTGCACCAGGGTTTCTCCGCCACTTTCGAGGCCTTCATCCCGAGTGACTGTTAAGTTTTTCGCCACGAGTCAAACAGTCTGCGTTGTGTCGTCATGTGATCGAGTTGCCCTTCAACCGTCTGTCCAAACACCTTCCGTGTACCATTTACACCCGAGCACTTTGAAAGAGTCATTCGTGACTTCATCACATCTCGGCTGGATTACGGTCACGCCCTTTACTTTGGACTCAGCCAATCCTCCATGAAGCATCTCCAGTTGGTGCAGAATGCCGCCGCTCACCTCTTGACTGGTACTCGTAAGAGGTAGCGCATGACTGCAACTATTCATGCACCTCTAACCAGGAGTGGGGCTTCTCAATATGAGGTGGCCAGGGAGTGACCAGTGGTGGCCCTGGCCACCTCACATTGAGGGAAAATTTTGATACTTGTGACTTTCATGTCATTTTCACATAGATGCGATTTTCTCTGCCGCAATTTACTTATGTTAACTATATTTCAAGAACAAATTTAATATTCATCTGATTGCAAACGCAAAAAGAATGCCTTTGGCAAAGAACGTTTGATCCTTACAGTCGCTGTCAATCGAAATCACGACTTTGACAGCAAAGCGAGCAAATGACATGGCTGAGAAGTCATTCTTTCTCAGACCATCCACAGTCATGGTTGCATTAAATAAAAATGCGCACATTTACGTCATACTCCACATCTTGCCCAGCACGTTCATAATACAAGCAGGAAGTAAAAAGAAACGTTTAGAATCATGAAGAGGTTTTTGCGTCATTGCGCTTTTGTGGTCTGTTGTGACTGAACAGGCCATCAATCGCAGTATGCAAAATCGTGACAAATGATCACTCTGGCTGTAGGCTCGCAGATCTGCGCATGCGATAAAAGTTGTACCTCTAAGTTTGTTTTGTGTTTTGTTTTGGCGCAGCTTGTCCGGGGAAGTTCCGCTGCACCAACGGCTTGTGCGCGGACTCTCGTCTGCGCTGCGACGGCGTGGACGACTGCGGAGATGCCAGCGACGAAGAAGACTGCGGTGAGTTTCAATAATTATATATTTCTTAAAAATCACATTGTGTTATTCAGATATAAAATTAACTATTTTACACTGCAGACTGTTTGACCACTGCATGACACAACAGCGCTTAGTTCCATCCACAAACTTGAAACAGACCACAAGGTGGCAGTATTGCACTGCCAATAGCTTCCTCGTCTTTCCTCTCTTCGGTCGCGTTATACCAGACTGCAACTGTAAAACCAAAATCGGACATGAATGACGTGAAATTGGCATTTTGAAATGGGAATGCGACAGGGATGGAAACCTTGTCAACGGGCGACGTTGAAAAGAGGTTCGACCGTATGTTGCTAATGAAAACGATCCATATTTGTGCCTGTAATTGCAATTGAACTCATGAGACTTCAAGACTGTGCTTACGTTGTCATTTTCATTCAAAAATTAAATCCATAAAAATTTGACCCGCTCTGTCGTGTTTGGCAGGCGCCTGTTCTCCCAATGCCTTCCACTGCAGGAACGGTCACTGCGTCTCGCGGGCGACAGTGTGCGATGGCAGAGACGACTGCATCGATGGCTCTGATGAGTTCAAATGTGAAAAATGTGCGAATGATCCTGCTTTGTGTTGACCTCGTCTCAAAATGAGACACAATTGTCAAAACGACAAGTCGGTGTGGAAACGAGACACTCAAGTCAAAGCAAAATATTGGTGTCAAAATTAATCATGACACCAAAACATAATCACATTGACTGTTGCGCCGCTAACACGTGCTTGTGACGTCCCACAGCGGTCGCCATGACGACGTGCCCAGACTCCAGCTTTCGCTGCAGAAACGGACGCTGCCTGGATAAAGTCAACCCGGAGTGTGACGGCCAGGAGGACTGCGAGGATGCGTCTGATGAGGAAGCTTGTGGTATGTCTATCTCGAGCGCTCACACACCGTTCAGCGTTTCTGTCAAGTTATGGGTCAAATTGACCCATTTTCAATCCAAAACTACGGTAGTTTTCCGGTTTGAAGTTCATTTAAAACAATTTTTTTTGTTGTTGTTAATTTCAATTCAACATCTTCAATACCTCGTGACAAATTAGCTCGTTAAGCTTTTCCTTGAAAAGGTGTCTGATCATCTTCCAATAGGACGCACAACTTCAACATACTGTAGAATCTGTACACATAATCAATTGTCCGTGTACCTTGAACATAGCATGTTTTTTTTCCTTGTTTCGGACCCTTTTGGATAACAGGTCAAATTGACCCCACTGCATTATAGCATTTTGCTATTCCTGAGAAACAAACGTAGCACAAGAGATAATTGTGTGTTGTTTTTTTTTTTTGCTCCACCCAGAATGCGGTTTACGGCCGTACAGAAGTTCTCGCATTGTCGGCGGTGAGGCGTCGCAAGAGGGCGAGTGGCCCTGGCAGGTCAGCCTCCAGCTGGTGGGCCAGGGTCACGCATGCGGCGCTTCCGTGTTGAGCAGCCGCTGGCTGCTGACTGCCGCCCACTGCGTCCAGGACAAGGGCTCGGTCAGGTACGAGTAGAGGAACCAGTTGAACTCTTTATCAGCTTGTCAGATTTAACTTTCTAACGTCTGTCCAGACTTGTAAACCAATGATGGGAAAACGAAGCTTCATGAAGCACTTTTTGACTCCTCGAGATGATACTCTTTGTTTAGTGCAATGGAAATGTGTTAAAATTCCACTGCATCTTTAAACCAAGAGTGCCATCTCGAGGAGTCAAAAACTATCACGAGTGCTTCATGAAGCTTCGCTTGTCCATCACTATTGTAAACGGTCATTACTGACAAGTCAGACTTTTTCAGGAGCCTTTACAGACTAGATGGAAGAGTTTTGAAAATGGCAAAACTGTCTTTACACAAGTTGAACTTTTTGAAGTGTTGTGACAGACTTGAGTCTAAAAGATACTCCAAAGATTCATGTGACTCATTTAAGAGTCACGACCGATGAGTTGAACCAGAGAGTCTAAATCAAAGTGTGTCCACTCGTCAAATTGAAGCGAGCGGGCAGCCCTTAGCAGACGACCAATCACAAGCAAATCGCTTTGCATCGCAGGCACTCCCGGGCCGACCAATGGGAAGCTCTCCTGGGCCAGCGCGTGCTGAGCCGCACTAACGAGTGGACGGTGAGGAGGAAGGTGATGCGGATCGTGGCCCACCGCGACTTCGACCGGCTCACTTTCGACAACGACGTGGCGCTGATGGAGCTGGACTCAGACGTGCCGCTCAACCAGCACATCTGGCCCATCTGCCTGCCCTCCCCCTCGCACCGCTTCCCTGCCGGCCAGGAGGCTTGGATAACCGGCTGGGGCGCCGGCAGAGAGGGAGGTGGGGGTCGCTTGATGTCTTTGTGCCCTTTTTAAGTCTCACCGAAGAAAGTTGTCAGTGAACGCTTTCGCTGCGTCCTTGTGTCACTTTGAAGGCGTGGCGGGGAGCATCCTGCAGAAAGCCCAAGTTCGCATCATCGACAGTTCGCTGTGCAACCGTGTCATGAACGATGAGGTGACCGATGGAATGATGTGCGCCGGCGTCCTCAAAGGTGGCGTGGACGCCTGCCAGGTGAAGATGGACTTTGGGAGACCAGCTGGACTTTCAAAAGGCTCCTTTTCATCCTTGTTGAAAAGTCTTCACACATACCTCGTCTTCAGAGTTCCGCAAGTCTTTTGAGACCATCTCATCTTTGACTCCTGACAGGGGGACTCCGGGGGTCCGCTGTCTGTCGTCAACCCGAGTGGGCGGGTCTTCCTGGCCGGCGTGGTGAGCTGGGGCGATGGTTGCGCTCGCAGGAACAAGCCGGGCATCTACACACGAGTGACCCGATATCGCGGCTGGATCAAGGAGCACAGCGGCCTTTAGCGACAACTCATTCGACCGCCACCACAAGTTTGAAGAGTTTCAAGTTAAAGGTGCGCATGTGTCATCGACATGTGAGAATTTCGAACAATGTGATTAATCACATTGTTTGGAAATTTCACTTGTCTCTAAATCACATGAGAGACACGAGACTTCTCAAACAGCAACTGGAGTTCATACAGACCGCGAGGACCGCAGTTGCCCACCCCTGCTTGAGTCTTTATTGACTTGTTAAGACTTTCTTGGGATTCTTTACAAAATGTCTGAAAATGATCCATTCGTCCATTTTCCAATGCCCTTTATCCTCACAAGGGGTGCTGGAGCCTATCCCAGCCATCTTTGGGGCAGTAGGCAAGGGACACCCTGAACCGGTTGCCAGCCCATCGCAGGGCACACCGAGACAACCAACCGTCCACGCTCACACTCACACCGAGGGACAATTTAGAGTGTTCAACCAGCCTGCCATGCATGTTTTTGGAATGTGGGAGGAAACCGGACTACCCGGAGAAAACCGACGCGGGCACGGGGAAAACATGCAAACTCCACACAGGGAGTCCCAGAGTCTGGATCGAACCCACGACCTCTGCACTGTGAGGCCGACACACTAACCATTGGACCACCGGGCCGCCTCTGAAAATGATTTGGAAACTAATTGGACTGTCTAAAGGGTTTTTTTAAAAAAAAATTTTATTGACCTGTTAACCGTTCTGTAAAGCGCTTTGTCACAGCTGCAGCTGTTGTGAAAGCGCTCTATAAAGATGTTTTCTATACTGTATTGCATTGTTGGGGAGATTTTGGAGAAACGATAAAGGAAAAAGGTAAATGACAAACACAATGCACCATGTCAACACTGCTCTGTCCTCCAACTGTGAATTTGATTATCGTGTTCAAAGTCAACCATGAGATTTCGATATCCATGCATCTCTACTCGTGTCCCAAAGCATCGCTGTAGTTCAGACTAGACTGGAGTCTATAAATAGACTTGTGGAACCTTTTTCGATATCTTTAATGGAGACAAAAGTCATATTTCCAAACAAGCGCTCATCTCCGATCGGTTCCATATAAGTCGCCCTCGGGATGGCCGCTTCGACCACCACGACAGCTGCCGTACTTTGTTTCTAGCAGGCGGCCGACTGGCCTGCGAGCGTTCGGGGGCGTTTACTCGGCGGCTGCTCCGATCGGTCGTCGTCCCTGAAGCCATCCGTCGTGATCTGGTAGTTGACCGTCGCTTCCTCGCAATCGGGAGACTTGAAGATGGTCGCCTGCCTTTGTGAACCTGCCCAGCGTAGGAGGAGTCTCAGGGTGGGCGCGTGGCCCCAGCTCTCCCCCAGAGCGGGGACCAGCTGAGATTGTCCACCCTGCAACCGCGTGGTCATCTGGTTGCTCAGGACCACCGCCACGTCATGCTTGGTCGCCATGGAGATGAGCTGCTGGGCCAGGCCATTGAGCAGGCGGGTCCGCTGAGCGCGCAGCTCGTCAAAGTGCTGACGGAAGGGGAAGGCCACGCTGTCGATCACCACGAGGCGGACCTTCGGGTGACTAGACAGGAAGTCGGGCAGCAGGTAGATCTCGGCCAGGAGCTCCACGTAGTCATGGCAACGCACCTGAGGCGTACCAGGACGGGAAGTCATCACTCCTGACCCGTTGTGGCATTCTTACTTTTAATAACACTCTTTGATAAGCGAGGCCCACTCGGACTTCCCGTCAGGGTGGCGACTTTCACCTTACCATGAAGATGTTGGACAGGATGGTTTCCACGGTGAAGGCGGCCGCGGCGTCTCGCTGCTCCGCTTCCTCAGCCAGCAAGGTGCAATGGCGGACGGCGGCGGTGGCGAGGTCCACCGCTCTTTGGACCACAAAGCTTCCCTCTGTGTCGATGAAGACCACCTGCCCTCCCAGACCGCCAAAACAAGGAGGCACCTGAACGTCCACGGCCAGCTGTAGACTGATGGCATATTTGCGTCACATCTGCCATCGTTGCACTTTCATTCATTTTATCCTCAGCGAAGAACGACTAATATCACTGCGGTTTATTGAGGAGTTGGGACCATTAGGACCACCTCAAAAGGCGCAATAGAAATCTAAATTGTGGTTATTATTACTTGTGTGTGTGTCTGTGTGTTTCTCTCTTACCAAAGTTGTGTTTTTCCCATTCCGGGCACTCCACAGATCTCCGTGATTTTCCCAACAGGAAGTCCTCCTCCGAGCGCGGCGTCCAGCCGTGAGGAGAACGTCACGATGCGGGTTAGCGCCTCCTCCTTCTGCAGAAGGTCCAGCGCGGTCAGAGAAGCGCCATCACCCGCTCCTCCTCCATCAGCTCCTCCCTCCTTCCTCGCAACCTGGAGCACCTCCAGCGCCTCCTCTTGGCTCAGACCTGCCTCTGAAACGGAAAGATCTTCGGATCTTAGTCATTTTGCCCCGAATTGATGTCAATGTTCTTAGATTGCTGAAATACTATCGATGCATTTTCTATCGTGCTCGTCCTCATTAACATCCCCCGTGCTCATGTTGGGCCGCTGGCGGGTTACACCCTGGACTGATCGCCAGCCAATCAGACTTCTTTCATACTCATTGATTTTATTTATTTGTGTGTGTGTGTGTGCGGGTGCGGGTGCGTGCAACCTGAATCCAATTTTTAGCTCTTCATCCAAAGCCCTTTGTGTAGTGGAATGGGAGGAAAACGAATACTGTATGTACCTCGACTAAGCTCGAGCGCGCTGACTTGCATAACGTCATCAAGCGTCTGAAACCCGGCGTTGAGGACTTTGACTTTGATCTGCGGACTTAAGCGCAGAGTGGTCACCGGTCTCTGCATCTTGTTTGCAGCTCAACGATAGCTTCGAGCGTCCAGAATGTGCCACAACATTTATCCTGACAATCCAGGATACAAACTCCTGTAAAAAAAATAACCAACATAAAATCAGCCTTCGTCGACTTTTTGGATTAAGTCTGCCTCCAAAATAAATTTGCAAAGAAATGGATTGAAAGTTACAGCAAGTTTGCATGTTCGTGTCGACCCAGAAGCGTCGGCAACTCACTTCCTATAAACTTGACTTCAGAATAAAAGTACATCGGTTTGCAATTGCATATTGTCACTAAATAAAATTAAATTGTTTTACGTTATGTTGTTAAAAATTCAGCAATGACCTTGTGTTTCGTGTTTTAGTGCTATCAAATACAGTAGTTAGATTTTGTTTCTAGGTGGCTTATGCCCTCTTTTAAAAAAAAAAAAGAATGAATTTTACTGTTATTCCAAATCATGTTTGTATTGAACCAACTTCAACATCACGAATAAATAATTAAATGATATCATCAAAATTATATGGATTAAATGATAACACATTTTGAAATATATTTTCCCCAACTCTTAGAATCGTGATGTAAACCATTCCTTAATTATGAAACGGCGTGTTTTAAAAGGAAGTGTGCTTTCGTCGCTGTTATGTCGTCACTACCATGCGACGTTTTTTGCACGTGAAGAGGAATAATATTCACGGAGCAGTATTTGGATTTGTGTTTGCTGTGTAAGTGCGTTATCATTCGTTTTGAATACAAAACTTCAATTAACACTGATGGAGATGTAGCATCAGAAATTTATCAAAAACAACAATGTCTAGTCATGGGTTTCACACCCATAAATGCGATCTGGATTTTTTTTTTTTTATACTAGTGAACGTTTCTACACTATACCACATAAAACATGAAAAATATTAACGTCATTGCTATGCGAAATGAACACGTTTACAACCTATTTTTAAATGAACGTAGTAACAAAAATATCAGATACAGTAAGGAACCGTACACTTGTAGCAGCCATGTTCCATACAGACGTGGAGCCATCGTTTGTTTCTAACCAAATATTGTCATTTCTAGTGAACAGAGATGGGCAGGCGGAAGAAAAGGACAAAGACAGCTCAATTAGAAATGGAAGAAGGGAAGATGATGACAGCTCAATGGGGGAAGGAGGAGGAGGGGAAGACTACAGCCAAAGAAGAGGAGGAGGAAGATAGGAGTATTATAATCCAAGAAAAAGAGCAGAAGGAGGGGGAGAAGAAAACTACCACTCAAGAAGAAGAAGAGGACGAGGTGGAGAAGACTGCAGCCAAAGAAGAAGAAGAAGAGGAGGAGGAAGATGGGAGTATTATAACCCGAGGAAAGGGGCAGGAGGGGGAGAAGAAAACTACAACTCAAGAAGAAGAGGACGAGATGGAGGATGGAGAGCTCTCAACTCAAAAAGAAGAAAAGCGTAAAAAGCTAACCCTTAAAGGGGTGGCAAAGACTTCCTCTTCCTTGGACAAAAAGTGTGTCCCAGGAATTCTGTACCTGGGTCACATCCCTCCAAGGTTCAGGCCCAAACATATGAGAAATCTTTTGTCTGTTTACGGCGAGATTGGACGAATCTTTCTGCAACCTGAAGGTACGACTCGGCGATGTATTGATTCTATCGATGAATTTGAGTTCGTCCGTGTGAATAATTTTTTATGCTGCTTCCGTTCCTTAAAGCTTGTCCCCACTAATGTACCACTACATAAAATGGCAATGAGAAGATTTCAAAAGTACAGTGTTGAGAACGTAGCAACTTTGTTGCTAGAATTCAGCAACTTTGCCAACCCCTTCAAGCGACTGTTTTGTGTTTTGTTGGCGCGGGTGCAGACGGCCAGGTGAAGGCGAAGAAGAAGCGATCAGGCTCCAGGAGGAGCGATTTCACCGAGGGCTGGGTGGAGTTCCGTGACAAGCGCGTGGCTAAGCGCGTGGCGGCGTCTCTTCACAACACGCCCATGGCGACGCGGAAACGCCAGACCTTCGTGTCCGACCTCTGGTGCATCAAGGTACGGCGACCGCTCGCTATTCGCCATGCTAAGAGATCGCTAACGGGAAGTCGTCGGCATGGCAGTACCTGCACAGGTTCCAGTGGACGCACCTGAGCGAGCGTCTGGCGTACGAGCAGATGGTTCTTCATCAGCGCCTCCGCACCGAAGTGTCGCAGGCCAAGCGCGAAACCAACTTCTACATGGACAACGTGGACAAGAGTGCTCGCATGGACAAAGAGAGCAAGAAGGGCAAGCGGAAGAAGATGGACGCCCAGCAGCACGTGAGTTACCAGCATGCGCACAGACGGAGAGAAAGACATGACAGAAAGAGACGAGGGAAAAAAAGTCGTTTTGCACTCGCTCGCTTCTCCTTTGTCTTGCTTTTCCGTTGTCTTTTTTTTTTGTCTCTTTTCTCTGTCTTGCTCTTTTCCCCTTTACATGTCACCTGCTTTTTTCACTCTTTCATTCAAGCTTTTTTTTGTCCTCTCTCTTGTTCACCCAATCGTCATCCTCCTTTTTCTTTCTCTTTATCCCTATCTCCCATTTTTTTTCTTTCACTGTAATTTCTTCTTTCTTGTTAGCACTCTCTGTCCCTCTTCTCTCGTTTTCTTTCTCCCTGTCTGTGTGTTTCCTTTTTCTCTTTATTCACTCAGTTGTATTTTTTTGGGGGGCTTGGTCTCAATTCTCTCCCGCTGTCTTTTTCCCTCTATCTGTTTTTCACTCTTTTTCTATTTGACTCTCTATCTCCCTCTCTCTGCCTCGCTTACTGTGTTTGTCTCTTTTGCTTTTCTTTTTCACTTTCTCAACTACCTCTGTTTTTCCTCTGCCTGTATCCTTGGTTTTCTTTGTTTTTTCCCGATTTTGTTCTCCTCTTTTTTTTTCCCATTTTTTTCTTTCCTGTTTCTAGCCCGATCTGTCTTTATCATTTTTCTATCTCTTTCACATTTTTTCCTTGTCTTTCTTCCCCTTCCTATCTCTGTTACTGCAAGCCAAACTATTGTCACGCTATCTATTGACGCCGTATTGTCGTCGTCAGGCCGAAGAGCGAACGTGGGACTTCACACAACGCCAGACAGAGGAGGAGATCCAAGCGAAGAAGAAGAAAAAGACAATGATGACGATGATGGACTCTCGGAGCCGGAAGCCACAAGAGAAGGACCACCTCCACCACCTCAAGAGCCAATCAAACGTCTCTTTGTTGGCCAAAATTTTTAACTCCCAACAAACTTAGTAGCTGGCGAAGAAACAATGGTGTGACACAAAATACATAGTCCACTTATTTTTTTCATCCCCAATGATTATGTGTAAAATTTTGTGTGGAGAGTGGCGAGGTCGCTAACATGCTTTAATATGGGTATCAAAGGTATGGAGTAAATGCTGAAACTGCTTGCCACATGGCTGGAGTGGTAGTAACACACAAACTAGCCAATATAGTTGACCCCGACATATTCCACTGCAAAGCCTACCGGTGCAGTCGCTACTATGCTAATTAGATAACATAGCCTAATAGACCTCTTCATAATTTAAAAAAAATCAGAGCCAGGATATTTCCAGGTGGCAGAAAAGTGAGCAACTTGAATTAAAAACAATCGCAAAAAACCTGCAGCGACCGATATCCACAAGGGGTTTCACCCAACTCACACACGCACGCATTACACAATTTCAGTTTTTAAATATTCATAATTCAGCGGAACATATGGATTTGGAGGATAAAGCACGAGGATGTCGTGAATTGGTGTATAAAGAAGATCGCAGGACTGTCTTAAAAAATGTTCAGTTGGGTTGTGTGAGTCATGGCTAGCCTGCCACCGAAAGATCACTCTTTAGCACGTTATCCATTTCATTGTCATGGCTGCCAATAATCCTAGAAAGAGAAAACTCAATTGATTAGCCAGTCCGTCACTGACCATGTCAACTGTGAATTACCCCAATGTCTAAATAAAATAATAAACTGCCATGGCAGAGAACAAGGATAAAATTGCATAAGTACCCTGCTTTCTCAATGACTGCCATGGTCAAATAAGTTTGTTTAGTGGTGGTACAATCATTTTTTGCCTCCCAGAAGTCATTGTGAAAAGGAGCCGGCTGGAGAAGCAGCATAAATGAGTAGATTTTTTTTTCCTCAAAATTATGTATTTAATTAAAGATGTGTATGAATGAATTTTTTTCAATGTATTTATTAAATATATATACAGTACTGTTAGAAGTGTAGTACAGTACGAGAGACAAGATAAGACAATGCGCGCGCAAGACGTTGGGGAGGAGGGCGTGACGTCACTGATGTGCGAAGGAGCAACATGGCGGCAGATTATTGGGAGCAGGAAAAATCCTTCACACTGTCACGCTGAACCGAGCCAAAGACAAGCCGGGCGACGCCAGGACCGGGCCTCCCGGTGAGTAACCCGCCGCTGTCCTCACGTTGGCCGTACCAGGAAGGGGGAAAGGAGGAAAAGGACGTGATGTTTGCCTTACGGCGGCGGACAATCGGGGGTACACGCCGCTCCTCCGTTTTAGAAGGCTCGAGGTGCAGCAAATAGACGGCCTCCGCGCCGTAGATTTCGGTGGGCGATATCTAAACGACAGCATAGTCGTATCCCGGGAAGCGCCGGAAAGTGAGACGACACCGTCGCTTGCTAACAGCTGCAACCTGGCTGTGTTTGAAATCACATCGTACGTTACATTGTGAGTTTGCCATGTTGTAGTGCCGTGCGAGTATGTAATGATCCATAAATTGCCCCCTGTCACCAACCCTCGCTGCGTCCCACAATGCATTTTGTTAAGTAGAGAGCTAAGATTATCAAATATCTCCCAGGAGGCATTGCGCCCGTGCGAAACAAAAAAAAAAGATTTCCGTTTCCGGTCTGTTTGAGTTGCGGCGCGAAAATATCTTCAATATAAGTACAGAAATATCTCACAACACAAGTACATTCAGTGTTTCGTTTGTATTCATATGATACATTGGACAGAGCTTGAATTAGAATGTACTGTAATGTGTTTGTTCGGGAAGTGCGGTAAATTTAAGCATGCTGTCGGGAGGATGACGTAAATAACGGCGCGCCGGAGAGGTCGCCACTCGTCGTGACGTCCCAACTGGCAGTGACTGTTCAGATAATCTTCAATTCGGTTTTCCCTAAGAAAAAAGAACCTTTCAGATAGCTGTACCTACATTCTTCTGGGCAATTGGCATGTCAAATATTTGTTGCGTAATTCTGCCTAGGGAAAATTGTGTCAGTTTACCATTCTCATTTCAGAAATGTGCAATTCATTTGTAATGTGAATTAAAGTGGCTATGAGACAACGTAGATATGTTGAACTTCCAAGTTTGACACAGTGTGTATCAGAGGCTGTTATCGTGAGGTCACTCAATCAGTGTCACCAAGCTCAGTTTTAGTTTTTGCAAAAAAATTGTCAAATGCTTCATATAATTTTAATGCTGAATTCTTGTAAAGCCATAACGTTTGCCTCTTGCCACAAATAAATAAAATAAATGAAGAGGGCAAAACAAAGCACGCTGATTTAACTACTGTAGTGCTTTTATTATGCACATTGCCATTGTGTTGTATGTTAGCATACCAAATGTTAGCATTGTAGTCTGCTGAGAAATGGCACCAGAATACGGACGGGGCAAAATATCAAACCCGTGTCGATCGGCCTTTCCTGACTGAGATTGCTATTGTGCGTCATGTCAGTGTACCGTCATGAGACATTGACCTCCTGTGCGCAGGTGCGTCGTCCACGCTGGCTGCCCCACCCCCCTCAGCTTCGCGGCCCCCCCTCATGGAGAGGATGAGGAAGATCAAACGGCAGCTGTCGCTCACCCTGGGGAGGGGAGGGGGTGGTGGGGGAGGAGAGCGGACGCTGAGCGACCACCAGGACGTCACATCACACAGTGACTCGGGTAATGCTCGCTCGTAACGTACTGTACGCTGTAACCAAAACTTTTAAAAAAAACAGCAACAATTCATAAGACTTATTTCACATTTCTGATACTTTTGCAATATTATTTTATTAGTATTTAAAGGTAACTATACGCATAACAGTATTCCACTATGCCTTGCTGTTATTTGTACTGTATAATTTGGTGACTTTTGAAATCATAAATGTATTATCGGTATTTTATATTTTTGAAACACAAATGTTTCATTGTATCTTCACTGTACGTGACAGTAAAGTCTTTCTATTCTTTTTGTTCTCACCCCTCAGAGACCGGCACGATTCGTCCTACATCGGCAGGAGTGAAAGTCAGAGGCTCGTCTTCCTCAGTTCAGTCTCTTTTCCAGTCGTACAGCCGCCGGCCTCGAGGTCTAGGACGCAGTTTGAGCTCATACTTGAACCACAGCAGCAGACTGGGTAGGACTACAAACCTTTAGGGTTGGCCAAACATGGCCTGAAATGAAATTGCCTTTTTCTTCCCCCAACAAAAATCCATCTTCGAAATTTTTCTTTGACGTCAATTCCAGTTGACAGAAGAGGACGGCGCAGTGTTAAAATGGCTGCACCCTTGATGAATGAAAATGGGTCGTTTAATCTGATGAATTCTTATTCCATCAGCATAGAACATGTTATTTATTGCAAAGAAAAACTTTACCTCGACTTCCACTTTAAGCGCAGCGACCAAATGGCTAAGTTGGCAACACTGACAGCTTTTGTAAACTACAGTAGCGTCTCAGCATTGTTCATCTACGCAATACAGTATACGTCACCGGGTCCATGCTTTGAATTATAAAAGCCACACACAAAAAAAAAAAAAAAAGTTCTGAAAAATAAATAAAATAGAAATAAATAAATAAAGCATAATAAACCCAGCCCTGCCTCGTATCTTCGCCACGTGTTCTCACACTCCTTCCTGTGTCCAAGCAGAGATTGTACACGAGGATGTCAAGATGAGCTCTGACGGAGAAAATGAGCCCACGTCCTCTTCAGACGATGTCCAGAGTCCAGTCCGAGTTCGACTCAGGACCAAGAAGATATCCACTGAGGTAAACAAGACATTTTTCAATAGCTTTTATCAAGAATTCCTCTTTCATCTATAACCACTTCAAACTAAAAAGCAGATGGGGGTGAGGTGCTGCTTTGTTTTATATTTTTGTCAGTGTTTTGTTATGTGTTCTATCAAGCGCTTCGTTATAGCTGCAGCTGTTGTGAAAGCGCCACATAAATAAAGTTGAGTTGAGACCCTTGTGTGTCTGGAGTGTCGACCCACTCATCCGTCCGTCTTTCCATTTTCTGTCACGCCAGTGCCAATGTCTTGGCAGCGCTCGACAAATTCATATTGAGTTTGACTTGGTTTGATGATGAAGTGCTGCCTCCAAAAGTGAAAATGTCTGCCTTTCTCAGCTCGATGGGCTATTTGAAAACAAGTAGCTGCTAGCTTAGTTGCAAGAGCCTAACTTCACCCCCGTTCATAATAGTAATAAACACCCATTGGACAAGTAGAACAAGCTAGCTTTTGAACAGCACGAGTCAGGAGTGACAAAATCACAATAGAATTGTCCGATTACAATTTAAGGACGTATCCCATTTTTTATCCCTGTTTACACAAATATAACTACTTTGTGTGTTTCGCAGGACATCAACAAACGTTTGTCATTGCCTGCGGACATCCGTCTTCCGGACGGCTACCTGGAGAAGTGCAACGTGATTGGCCCGGCTCTGTTTGAACAGCCAATTAGCAGGCGGCTGCGTCGGGTCTCTCTGGTCTGTCTCCGTTGTGTGACCGTGGACCGTTTGTCCTTTGTTGTCATCGTTAATGCTCCCCTGTCCTTTTTTTTTTTTTAATGCAGTCGGAGATTGGCTTCGGCAAACTGGAGACTTACATCAAACTCGACAAACTGGGAGAGGTCCGAACTTCGACATGTCGCTCACTTCTTAGCCCGTCAGCTTGTCTGTGACCTGTGCATCTTTGACACGTGTGTCTAGGGCACCTATGCGACCGTCTACAAAGGCCGCAGTAAGCTGACAGACAACTTGGTGGCTTTGAAGGAAATTCGTCTGGAACATGAAGAAGGAGCTCCGTGTACAGCTATCAGAGAAGGTGCTTGTGGACGTCCCACGTGTTGTATCAGAAATCTGTGTTGTATCGATAGTGGGACTGAGCTCTCATGAAAAACTCTTTAAAAGGGATTTGTAATCGCGTAGCGATGCCAAAGGATGGTTGCAAAGCACTTAAAAGGCAAAGTATCATAAAGCTTGGATACCATGCATCGAGCATGTATAACCACGAACCCATGTCACATGGACAACTGTACACACAAACCACCTTCACATGAAGCTCATCAAACAGTGCTACAAGAGCTTCTAAAAAAACAATTGGGAGGGGGGGAAATCATCCTTCTGAAAATAATCCAATCATTGAACATTCATTGACGCATTTTGTGTAATTTGTGTGCATCAGTGTCTCTACTGAAGGACCTGAAACATGCCAACATCGTGACGCTTCATGACATCATCCACACACAGAAGTCCCTCACACTGGTCTTTGAGTACCTGGTGAGACACAAACAAATAATTTTTTTTTTTTTTTACGTAGTTACATGCCCCTTTGAGCATATTTGTGTGTTTTAGGACAAAGATTTGAAACAGTACCTGGACGACTGCGGCAACGTCATCCACATGCACAACGTCCAAGTGCGTCACCCTCTTGCCCCTTTTTCATGGTTGCCATTTACGCACGCGTGCAATTTGAACCCGTCAAGGTGTTGACGTGACGGATCTTGTCTTGTCCTTGCCGTCTCGCAGCTTTTCCTCTTCCA